GATTTAGGAGGAATATATTAAATGATAAGAAAGTGACTCTTATTTCCCATCAAGACTAGAGATGAAAGTTTGCTCTAGACCCATTTTTTAAATGTCAAAATTAGGTTTTTCAGAAACAAACGTTGTTCTTGTCTCTTTGCTGTGTTCCTATGTTAACCTGGCTGTCTCATTAGAAATGGGGACATTTCCTGGTGAAATTAATGTGACATTTAGAGAAAATTTCCTCTCTCAAATGTTTCATGTTATTTGCCATTTACAATACTTAGAGAGGGGATTGGAATAATGTCAAGCAAATTTTGATTAAATAAGGCTAACCAGGAGCCAATACATTCATGAAAAAGAAAAGTTCTTGTATTACTTCTTAAAAAGTGTTATTTCTTTTCTAGTTCTTTATTGAGATGACCTTGGCAGATAATCTGGTAGAAGAGGTGCCGTTATTTTAAACAACTGAGGTTGCCTTAGAAAATACAGCACATCTGATTAAAGCCTGTGGGTAGTCTTTTGCTCAGAAAAATTCTTCTCTACCCTGGCTGTACATTAGAATTACCTGGGAAGAAAATATTTACCACTACTTAGGTTCCTGAGATTTTTCTAATGTGCAGTTATGGCTGAGAACCACTGGTTTAAGATATACAAACGTTCATTAAGAAATGGACTATTTGTTTTTCAAGGTGTTCTGAGTCTTATCCTTTGCTCCTAGGGAAGTGTGAAAATGTACTCTTTAAGTGCATAGCAGTTGAGTTTGAGCACTCGCCTTGAAAAAGTATGAGCTAGAACACTTGATGTCAGTGTACATAGACCCATAATATAATAGGACATCTATGGCCAGTTAACTCAGTTGTTTGGAATGTAGTACTAATGAGGCCAGAATAGTGTATTCCATCCAATTAGAATAATTCTGTTGCATAGGTTGTTCCCATAACTGCAACCCAGCTGCCTCACAAAGAGACCTGAGAATGCTAACAAAGGCAAAAGACAATGGGTGAATCAGCATAGCCCCATTCACTCTGGGAAAATTGGTTGTAGGAACCTGCCTGATTGACTACTGCTTCTAATTGTATTAGGATGCATCATGGGACATCTGCCCATTACAGTTTATGCTGATTTGGAGAGTGGAATATTTACATTTGAAGTCCAGAACCCACAAGAATGGGTGGCTTATTTTGTAGAACAAAGAAAGCAGAAAGAAAATTAGAAAGGTGGTAAACTTTGATGATACTCTCCTATCTGCAAGAGCAGATCATGCCTGGTCCATCTACCCAGGATTAACCCATCTGTATTCCAAAGGGACAGGGAGATGAATTGTTAAGGTCACTAAGAGAAAGCCCTCTAGACCTGTTTCTTTTCTTTCTTTCTTTTTTTTTTTTTTGCCAGAGGGTAAGCATGCTCACTGGAGAGAGACACAGAGAAAGGGTGAGAAGAAAGCATCTCCTCATGGGGAATACTCATGCCTCAATCCCTTTTCCTCCATCTCTCCATCATTTTGGGATTTGGAGCATGCACACATATGTGCCTAGTGTGTTTCTTAAACCACCCAGGTCTGGCACTCAAACTGTATGGTTGACCATGTGATATCTAACTGCTTCAATGACCAGGACATGAATACAACTCCTGTTTCTTTTCTTAACACAGTGCCTGGGAGTGGGAATCCTTATGATTAGAAAGTATTCATTAGAACCAAGGAATAGTAGTGTTCAGGGATAAAATCTGCATGATTTTGCTTTTTTGCTCAAACATGTGGTTCTGGCACCATGCCTGGAGGTCAGTTTTTCACAAAACTCAGTATTTGATGTACAGCACACCTAGGTTGAGTGGCCTCATATATGAAGCTATGCAAAATTTTCCACTTGAAAACTGATTTCTTGGGACCAGCAGTTGGTGTAATGGCTACGTTGCTAGACTCCCATGTAGTCAACCACGGTTTGAGTCCTGGACCCAGTGGCTTAAACTTAGGCTGGGTGCGTGCGTGTGCCTGCCCAAGATCCTGAGAGGAGAATAGAGGAGAAGGGATTGCGGTGTGGGCATTCCCCTGAGGAGTGATTTCTCGCTTTCTGTCTCTCTGGGGGGGGGGGGGGGGGGCGACCCTCCCCCT